TTGTGATAGATTTATCATTTAAGGTTCTTTTCATTATGGTTTTATCTTGCGGCGCAGGAAAGTCCTCCAAAGCGAGATCGAACGTGATCAAGAAATGGTCAGACAGCAACGAGCTTTGACGTTGAACGTCAATATTAGAAACATAACAACCGTAGGTCAGGACAAGGTCCAAAGTGTGGTTGATAGACCTTTACACTATGGTATAGATGACCAGTATAAACAATAGTAACAACAGCAGCAGGTAAAGTGACAAGTGACTATTAAATTATTATCAGAACAGGTGAGTGGCACTTGTATCCTATTGTTTACATTACTTATTGCACTTGTAAAAAGGGCAAAACAAGCATTAAATACAGCCTTTTCGGTCTTCCTTCCTTTCTATAAATTTACTGCTCTGTAACAATGTGTAAAATTGTACAAGTGACGTTTCCCAATGTTCTTTCTGTGCCTGTTACGCCCTGGGTTGCTTCTAAATTTGCCTTGCCTCTCCTTGCCTCCCCTTGTCTCCCCTTGTCTCCCCTTGCCTCCCCTTGCCTCCCCTTGCCTCTCCTTGCCTCTCCTTGCCTTGCCTCTCCTTGCCTCCCCTTGCCTCTCCTTGCCTCTCCTTGCCTTGCCTCTCCTTGCCTCTCCTTGCCTTGCCTCCCCTTGCCTCTCCTTGCCTCTCCTTGCCTCCCCTTGCCTCTCCTTGCCTCTCCTTGCCTCCCCTTGCCTCTCCTTGCCTCTCCTTGCCTCCCCTTGCCTCTCCTTGCCTATCCTTGCCTCTCCTTGCCTTGCCTCCCCTAGCCTCTCCTTGCCACCCTTGCCTCTCCTTGCCTCTCCTTGCCTCCCTTGCCTCTCCTTGCCTCTCCTTGCCTCTCCTTGCCTTGCCTCTCCTTGCCTCTCCTTGCCTCTCCTTGCCTCCCCTTGTCTCCCCTTGCCTCTCCTTGCCTCTCCTTGCCTCTCCTTGCCTTGCCTCTCCTTGCCTCTCCTTGCCTCCCCTTGCTTCTCCTTGCCTCTCCTTGCCCTCTCCTTGCCTCTCCTTGCCTCTCCTTGCCTCTCCTTGCCTCTCCTTGCCTATCCTTGCCTCTCCTTAACTCTCCTTGCCTCTCCTTGCCTCTCCTTGCCTATCCTTGCCTCCCCTTGCCTCTCCTTGCCTCTCCTTGCCTCTCCTTAACTCTCCTTGCCTCTCCTTAACTATCCTTGCCTCTCCTTACCTCTCCTTGCCTCTCCTTGCCTCTCCTTGCCTCTCCTTACCTCTCCTTGCCTATCCTTGCCTCTCCTTGCCTCTCCTTGCCTATCCTTGCCTCTCCTTAACTCTCCTTGCCTCTCCTTGCCTATCCTACCTCCCCCTGCCTCTCCTTGCCTCTCCTTGCCTCTCCTTGCCTCTCCTTGCCTCTCCTTGCCTTGCCTCTCCTTGCCTTTCCTCACTTTCAAATTCGAGAGCCAAAGATTGTTGGGGATTTGATTCACTCCTTCTAAAAAAACATAAAGAGGTTTTCACTGGTCCAATCACGTACATAATGAACCAATCACTAAGAGAATGTGTGTTCCCCTCCTCTTGTAAATTTGCAGTTGTTACGCCCATTTTTAAGGCAGGTAACAAAAAGGAATTGATAAAATATAGACCAATTAGTATACTTAGTTATCAAAAAAATTGTTGCAGAACAGCTGGTGGAACACCTTGACAATAGAAATATGTTACACCCCATGCAATTTGGCTTCCGATCAAAACATTCCACCGATACAGCCTGTTGTTATCTTCTTGAGGTGATTAAGTCCAATCTAGACAAAGGAGGGGTGGTTGGGGCCATTTTTCTGGATCTGCGTAAGGCTTTCGACACAGTTAACCACTCAGTGCTGCTAACAAAACTGTTGAATTTTAATCTTTCAGCAAACACTATTAGTTGGTTTCAATCTTACCTTGCAGATCGTTTTCAGTGCGTAAAAATAAATGATAAGATCTCACCTTTTAGCCCCTGCACTACTGGTGTACCACAGGGGTCTATCTTGGGGCCATTGCTTTTTACTCTGTACATCAATGACCTACCTTCCATCTGTGATGATGTGGAGGTCTTGATGTACGCTGATGACACGGTTCTATTTACTCACAGCTCTGATGCAAATCTTGTCGCAGATAAATTATCTATAGCTATGAATAAAGTAATAGAGTGGTTGAACAAGTCGAGCCTTACGCTGAATTCAGAAAAAACTGTCACTATGTATTTTTCCAACAAAAGAAAGAGTGTTCTTCCAAATATCTATGTGGATGGTTTGATGATCAAAAATGTCCAAGAAATCAAGTACCTAGGTGTAATGCTGAATCCTACCCTTAATTTTAAAAACCATGTTAAAAAGGTTTGCCGCGTTCTGAAATTTAACATCGCCAACTTCCAGCACATCAGGAGCTCTTTGTCATTGGAAGCGGCTAAATCATATCTTAATGCAATGATTATATCTCATATCATGTATTGTGTGTCTTCATGGTCTCAAGCTAAAACAACAGTTTTAAACCCCCTTAGATCGTTGTATAACCAGGCTCTGAAAGTCCTGGATAAAAAGCCTTGCCGGTACCATCACTGCAATATACTTGAAAAATACAGCATACTAAGCTTTGACAATCTGATTAGGTATTCCGATGTACGCTTGGTTCATAAGATTCTTAATGATACTGCCCCACCCCCCCTAAAAACATATGTACAGCTTCGCTCACAGCTAACCAACAGAGCATTAAGATCTGTGTCCAGGGGAGACTGCAATGTTCCTAAGAGAAAGTCTGCCTTCTCTCAATCAGCCTTTTCCTACAAAGCCACTAAAGAATGGAATGGTCTCCCAGACAATCTAAAGAACAATGCAGATTTCCACAGTTTTTCACGGGCATTTAAAGACTGGCTTTTAGATCAACAGTCCTGCTCGCACTAAAAGTACCAGATGGGTACTTGGCCATCAGGTGTTACCATCGCGGGTATCGTCTGATGGCCACCACACTATTAGTGTTAAAAACTATTGTATCTATGTGCTAATTATGTATAGCTACAAAATAGTTGTGAAAACTGTTGCACTTTGTCATTCTGCACTTTATGAATGCAACTGGCACTTTTCATCTGCACTTTTACTATATATTGCACAAATGTTTATTGTCTATGTTTTGTATTTTAATTAACTCTGTTATGTATTATGTATTTTAATTGTATTTTTGATTGTATAAGGACTACAGATGGAAATTAGCATTGTGCTAAATCTGGGGCAGCCATCTTTTTAATGTACCTGTCCGTTGTCCTTTTAAATAAATAACTAACTAACTAGCCTCTCCTTGCCTCTCCTTGCCTCCCCTTGCCTCTCCTTGCCTTGCCTCCCCTTGCCTCCCCTTACCTCTCCTTGCCTCTCCTTGCCTTGCCTCCCCTTGCCTCCCCTTGCCTCCCCTTGCCTCCCCTTGCCTTGCCTCCCCTTGCCTCTCCTTGCCTCTCCTTGCCTTGCCTATCCTTGCCTCTCCTTGCCTTGCCTATCCTTGCCTCTCCTTGCCTTGCCTCTCCTTGCCTTGCCACTCCTTGCCTCTCCTTGCCTTGCCTCTCCTTGCCTCTCCTTGCTTCTCCTTGCTTCTCCTTGCCTCTCCTTACCTCTCCTTGCCTCCCCTTGCCTCTCGTTGCCTCTCCTTGCCTCTCCTTGCCTCCCCTTGCCTCTCCTTGCCTCCCCTTGCCTCTCCTTGCCTCTCCTTGCCTCTCCTTGCCTCTCCTTGCCTCTCCTTGCCTCCCCTTGCTTCTCCTTGCCTCTCCTTGCCTCTCCTTACCTCTCCTTGCCTCTCCTTGCCTCTCCTTGCCTCCCCTTGCCTCCCCTTGCTTCTCCTTGCCTCTCCTTGCCTCTCCTTACCTCTCCTTGCCTCTCCTTGCCTTGCCTCTCCTCCCCTTGCCTCCCCTTGCCTCTCCTTGCCTCTCCTTGCCTCTCCTTGCCTCTCCTTGCCTCCCCTTGCATCTCCTTGCCTCTCCTTGCCTCCCCTTGCCTCCCCTTGCTTCTCCTTGCCTCTCCTTGCCTCTCCTTGCCTCCCCTTGCTTCTCCTTGCCTCTCCTCGCCTCCCCTTGCTTCTCCTTGCCTCTCCTTGCCTCTCCTTACCTCTCCTTGCCTCTCCTCCCCTTGCCTCTCCTTGCCTCTCCTTGCCTCCCCTTGCTTCTCCTTGCCTCTCCTTGCCTCTCCTTGCCTCTCCTCCCCTTGCCTCTCCTTGCCTTGCCTCTCCTTGCCTCTCCTTGCCTCTCCTTACCTCTCCTTGCCTCTCCTCCCCTTGCCTCCCCTTGCCTCTCCTTGCCTCTCCTTGCCTCTCCTTGCCTTGCCTCTCCTTGCCTCTCCTTGCCTTGCCTCCCCTTGCCTCCCCTTGCCTCCCCTTGCCTCTCCTTGCCTTGCCTCTCCTTGCCTCCCCTTGCCTCTCCTTGCCCCCCCTTGCCTCTCCTTGCCTCCCCTTGCCTTGCCTCCCCTTGCCTCTCCTTGCCTCCCCTTGCCTCTCCTTGCCTCCCCGTGCCTCTCCTTGCCTCCCCTTGCCTCTCCTTGCCTCCCCTTGCCTCTCCTTGCCTCCCCTTGCCTCCCTGTGCCTCTCCTTACCTCCCCTTGCCTCCCCGTGCCTCTCCTTGCCTCCCCTTGCCTCTCCTTGCCTCTCCTTGCGATCCCCCTCCCCTTGCCCCCCCCCCCTTTGCCCCCCCCCCTTTGCTTCCCCCTTCCCCTCCCCCTCCCCTTCCCCTTGCCCCCCCCCCCCTTGCTCCTTGTTCCCCCCCCCCCCCTTGACCCCTAGCCCCCCCTTGATTGTAATGGCTCCCCTCCTTGTCCCCCCCCCTCTCCCCACCTCCCCCCCTTGATTCCCCCCCCCCCCCCCCTTGAACCTCCCCCCCCCCCCCTCCCCCCCTTGCCCCCACCCCTTGACCCCTCCCTGCCCCTCATGGGCCCCCGTGCCTCCCCTTGCCCACCCTTGCCCCTCTGTTCCCCCCACCTCCCCCCCTTGCCCCCCTCCCCCTCCCCCCCCTGCCCCCCTTGCCCCTGCCTTGATGCCCCTTAGCCCGCCCATTGGCCCACCCCCTCCCCTTCCCCCTTGCCTCTCCTTGACCCACTCCCCCCCCCCCCCCCTTGATCCCCCTCCCCTCTTGGCCCCCCCCCCCTCCTCCCCCATGCCCTTCTCCCTCTTCCCCCCCTCCTCCCCCCCTCCTTGCCTTGACCCTTGTTGCCCCCCTTGCCTCCCTGGGGCCCCCTCCCCTCCCCCCCCCTTGCCCCTTGCCCCCTTCCCCCCCCCCCTTGCCCCCCCGCCCTCCCCTCCCTTGTACCCCTTCCCCCCCTCCCCTCCCCTCCCCCTTTGCCTCCTCTTGCCCTTGCCCTTGCCCCTTGCCTTCCCCTCCTCCCCCGTGTCCCCCCCTCCCCCCTCCCCTCCCCCCCTTGATTCCCTCCCCTTCCCTCCCCCTTGCCCCCTTCCCTGCCCCTTCCCCCCCTTCCCTCCTCCCTCTCCCCCCTTGCCCCCCCCTCCCCTCCTCTTCCCCCCTCCCTCCCCTACCCCCCCTTTGCCCTTGATCCCCCCTTCCCTCCCCTTGGAGGGCACCCTTGCCCTCCCCGTCTTGATGACTGTCTCAATGTGTGTCCCCAGCGAAGTTGTGTCTGACTGTGTCTGTGTGTGTGTTGTGTCTGTGTCTGTGTGTGTGTGTGTGTGTGTGTGTGTGTGTATGTGTGTGTGTGTCTGTGTCTGACTGTGTCTGTGTGTGTGTCTGTGTCTGTGTGTGTGTGTGTGTGTGTGTGTCTGTGTGTGTGTGTGTGTGTGTGTATGTGTGTGTGTGTGTGTGTGTGTGTGTGTGTGTGTCTGTGTCCGTGTCCGTCTGTGTATGTGTGTGTGTGTGTGTGTGTGTGTGTGTGTCTGTGTCCGTGTCCGTCTGTGTATGTGTGTGTGTGTGTGTGTGTGTGTGTGTGTGTGTGTCTGTGTCTGTCTGTGTGTCTGTGTGTGTGAGTGTGTCTGTCTGTGTGTGTGAGTGTGTCTGTGTGTGTGTCTGTGTCTGTCTGTGTGTGTGAGTGTGTCTGTGTGTGTGTCTGTGTCTGTCTGTGTGTGTGAGTGTGTCTGTGTGTGTGTCTGTATGTGTCTGTGTCTGTCTGTCTGTGTGTGTGAGTGTGTGTGTGACTGTGTGAATGAATTAATGTTGTATAACTGATGTCACACGTAAAGATAGATAGTAAAAACAATATTAATAACAAAAACACATCATAATAATCCAAAGTTCATAGAACTGCAATAATAATGTCTTCTCTCTGTGTGTGTGTGTGTGTGTGTGTGTGTGGGTGTGTTTGTGTGTGTGTTTGTGTGTGTGTGTGTGTTTGTGTGTGTGTGTGTGTGTGTGTGTGTGTGTGTGTGTGTGTGTCCGCAGCCTGCCGCACACGGCGCCTGAGTTCCTCCAGGATTACAAACCTCCTCCGTTTAACTACGAAGACCCGTCCCTGCGCTACATCCGCCACTGCAGCCCCCGCCTCATCGACAACCTGCCCCCGCGCCAGAGGATGCACCACACGCCCTACATGCACGACCTGAGGCGATGACACACACCCTACATGCACGACCTGAGGCGATGACACACACCCTACATGCACGACCTGAGGCGATGACACACACCCTACATGCACGACCTGAGGCGATGACACACACCCTACATGCACGACCTGAGGCGATGACACACACCCTACATCAACGACCTGAGGCGATGACACACGCCCTACATCAACGACCTGAGGCGATGACACACGCCCTACATGCACGACCTGAGGCGATGACACACACCCTACATGCACGACCTGAGGCGATGACACACACCCTACATGCACGACCTGAGAGGCGATGACACACACCCTACATGCACGACCTGAGGCGATGACACACACCCTACATGCACGACCTGAGGCGATGACACACACCCTACATGCAACGACCTGAGGCGATTACACACACCCTACATGAACGACCTGAGGCGATGACACACACCCTACATGAACGACCTGAGGCGATGACACACACCCTACATGCACGACCTGAGGCGATGACACACACCCTACATGCACGACCTGAGGCGATGACACACACCCTACATGCACGACCTGAGGCGATGACACACACCCTACATGAACGACCTGAGGCGATGACACACACCCTACATCAACGACCTGAGGCGATGACACACACCCTACATCAACGACCTGAGGCGATGACACACGCCCTACATGAACGACCTGAGGCGATGACACACGCCCTACATGAACGACCTGAGGCGATGACACACGCCCTACATGCACGACCTGAGGCGATGACACACACCCTACATGCACGACCTGAGGCGATGACACACACCCTACATGAACGACCTGAGGCGATGACACACACCCTACATGAACGACCTGAGGCGATGACACACACCCTACATGCACGACCTGAGGCGATGAACACCCACTGACCCTAGCGATGACACACCCCTCATCAGACTGAGGCGATGACACACACCTACATGACGACCTGAGGCGATGACACACCCTACATGAACGACCTGAGGCGATGACACCACCCTACATGAACGACCTGAGGCGATGACACACCCTACATACACCTAGGCGATGACCACACCTACATGAGACCTGAGGCGATGACACACACCCTACATGCACGACCTGAGGCGATGACACACACCCTACATGCACGACCTGAGGCGATGACACACACCCTACATCACGACCTGACGATGCACACACCCCTGACGCGATGACACACACCCTACATGCACGACCTGAGGCGATGACACACACCCTACATGAACGACCTGAGGCGATGACACACGCCCTACATGAACGACCTGACGCGATGACACACACCCTACATGCACGACCTGAGGCGATGACACACGCCCTACATGAACGACCTGAGGCGATGACACACGCCCTACATGCACGACCTGAGGCGATGACACACACCCTACATGAACGACCTGACGCGATGACACACACCCTACATCAACGACCTGAGGCGATGACACACACCCTACATGAACGACCTGAGGCGATGACACACACCCTACATGAACGACCTGAGGCGATGACACACGCCCTACATGAACGACCTGACGCGATGACACACACCCTACATGCACGACCTGAGGCGATGACACACACCCTACATGAACGACCTGACGCGATGACACACACCCTACATCAACGACCTGAGGCGATGACACACGCCCTACATCAACGACCTGAGGCGATGACACACGCCCTACATGAACAACCTGAGGCGATGACACACGCCCTACATCAACGACCTGAGGCGATGACACACGCCCTACATGAACGACCTGAGGCGATGACACACGCCTACATCAACGACCTGATGCGATGACACACACCCTACATCAACGACCTGAGGCGATGACACACGCCCTACATCAACAACCTGAGGCGATGACACACGCCCTACATGAACGACCTGAGGCGATGACACACGCCCTACATGAACGACCTGAGGCGATGACACATGCCCTACATGAACGACCTGAGGCGATGACACACACCCTACATGAAGGACCTGAGGCGATGACACACGCCCTACATCAACGACCTGAGGCGATGACACACGCCCTACATGAACGACCTGAGGCGATGACACACGCCTACATCAACGACCTGAGGCGATGACACACGCCCTACATCAACGACCTGAGGCGATGACACACGCCCTACATGAACGACCTGAGGCGATGACACACACCCTACATGAACGACCTGAGGCGATGACACACGCCTACATCAACGACCTGAGGCGATGACACACGCCCTACATGAACGACCTGAGGCGATGACACACGCCCTACATGAACAACCTGAGGCGATGACACACGCCCTACATCAACGACCTGAGGCGATGACACACGCCCTACATGAACGACCTGAGGCGATGACACACGCCCTACATCAACGACCTGAGGCGATGACACACGCCCTACATCAACAACCTGAGGCGATGACACACGCCCTACATGAACGACCTGAGGCGATGACACACGCCCTACATGAACGACCTGAGGCGATGACACATGCCCTACATGAACGACCTGAGGTGATGACACACACCCTACATGAACGACCTGAGGCGATGACACACGCCCTACATCAACGACCTGAGGCGATGACACACGCCCTACATCAACGACCTGAGGCGATGACACACGCCCTACATGAACGACCTGAGGCGATGACACATGCCCTACATGCACGACCTGAGGCGATGACACACGCCCTACATGAACGACCTGAGGCGATGACACACGCCTACATGAACGACCTGAGGCGATGACACACGCCTACATCAATGACCTGAGGCGATGACACACGCCCTACATCAACGACCTGAGGCGATGACACACGCCCTACATCAACGACCTGAGGCGATGACACACGCCCTACATGAACGACCTGAGGCGATGACACACGCCTACATCAACGACCTGAGGCGATGACACACGCCCTACATCAACGACCTGAGGCGATGACACACGCCCTACATCAACAACCTGAGGCGATGACACACGCCCTACATCAACAACCTGAGGCGATGACACACGCCCTACATGAACGACCTGAGGCGATGACACACGCCCTACATGAACGACCTGAGGCGATGACACATGCCCTACATGAACGACCTGAGGCGATGACACACACCCTACATGAACGACCTGAGGCGATGACACACGCCCTACATGAACGACCTGAGGCGATGACACACGCCCTACATGAACGACCTGAGGCGATGACACACGCCCTACATGCACGACCTGAGGCGATGACACACGCCCTACATGAACGACCTGAGGCGATGACACACGCCTACATGAACGACCTGAGGCGATGACACACGCCTACATCAATGACTTGAGGCGATGACACACGCCCTACATCAACGACCTGAGGCGATGACACACGCCCTACATCAACGACCTGAGGCGATGACACACGCCCTACATGAACGACCTGAGGCGATGACACACGCCTACATCAACGACCTGAGGCGATGACACACGCCCTACATCAACGACCTGAGGCGATGACACGCCCTACATCAACAACCTGAGGCGATGACACACACCCTACATGAACGACCTGAGGCGATGTCACACGCCCTACATGAACGACCTGAGGCGATGACACACGCCCTACATGAACGACCTGAGGCGATGACACACACCCTACATGAACGACCTGAGGCGATGACACACGCCCTACATGAACGACCTGAGGCGATGACACACGCCCTACATGAACGACCTGAGGCGATGACACACGCCCTACATGAACGACCTGAGGCGATGACACATGCCCTACATGAACGACCTGAGGCGATGACACACACCCTACATGAACGACCTGAGGCGATGACACATGCCCTACATGAACAACCTGAGGCGATGACACACGCCCTACATGAACGACCTGAGGCGATGACACACGCCCTACATGAACGACCTGAGGCGATGACACATGCCCTACATGAACGACCTGAGGCGATGACACACGCCCTACATGAACGACCTGAGGCGATGACACACACCCTACATCAACGACCTGAGGCGATGACACACGCCCTACATGCACGACCTGAGGCGATGACACACGCCCTACATGAACGACCTGAGGCGATGACACACGCCCTACATGAACGACCTGAGGCGATGACACACGCCCTACATGAACGACCTGAGGCGATGACACACGCCCTACATCAACGACCTGAGGCGATGACACACGCCCTACATGAACGACCTGAGGCGATGACACACGCCCTACATGAGCGACCTGAGGCGATGACACACACCCTACATCAACGACCTGAGGCGATGACACACGCCCTACATGAACGACCTGAGGCGATGACACACGCCCTACATGAACGACCTGAGGCGATGACACATGCCCTACATGAACGACCTGAGGCGATGACACACGCCCTACATGAACGACCTGAGGCGATGACACACACCCTACATGAACGACCTGAGGCGATGACACACGCCCTACATGAACGACCTGAGGCGATGACACACGCCCTACATGAACGACCTGAGGCGATGACACATGCCCTACATGAACGACCTGAGGCGATGACACATGCCCTACATGAACGACCTGAGGCGATGACACACGCCCTACATAAACGACCTGACGCGATGACACACGCCCTACATCAACGACCTGAGGCGATGACACACGCCCTACATGAACGACCTGAGGCGATGACACATGCCCTACATGAACGACCTGAGGCGATGACACATGCCCTACATGAACGACCTGAGGCGATGACACACGCCCTACATCAACGACCTGAGGCGATGACACACGCCCTACATGAACGACCTGAGGCGATGACACACGCCCTACATCAACGACCTGAGGCGATGACACATGCCCTACATCAACGACCTGAGGCGATGACACACGCCCTACATCAACGACCTGAGGCGATGACACACGCCCTACATGAACGACCTGAGGCGATGACACACGCCCTACATCAACGACCTGAGGCGATGACACATGCCTTCCACCGAGCCAGCACTTTGTTTGAGCACTTTGAGGAGCACAAAACTATTATTTATACTGCACCATGGAATGTGAGGACTTTATGTGGAATATAAAGGATTAGAGAAAAGAGGCCGAACTGCACCAAACCAAACCAAACCAAACCCAAGAGCCTGAACATTCATTTGCTTTGTCTGTTGCTATGGTTACAGGTGAAATGGAGGCAAAAAAACACACAAAACATAAAAAAATGCATTTATTTCTGTAATTCAACTTAAAATGTGAACCCAGTATTTGATGAAGACTCATTACTGTCGTTTAGTGGATAATAAGAATTCAATAAAAATAACAAAGTAAAAACACAGATGAGACACATAAGGGCGGGGCAGATCCCCAACAGGAAACAGGAAGTCAAAGTAAAAAAAACTAAATAAAACCAAGTAAACAAATAACTGACAAATGCCAATCAAGTTTGTTATAAAGGTGAATATGGATATAAATATTCTAACGTTCTGCCCCAGGGCAGCTGTGGCTTCAGTACTAGTTTATCACCACGGTGTTTGGAGAGAAGCGTCTCCGAGAGTCCGAAAAGCGCTGGATAAATTAAATAAGTAAAGTAAGTAAATGCTCTCCCGATACTGCACCTGTGAGTCCAATGTCTTCTTCAGTCTAGAAGTTGGGGCGAGTGTGTGTTTGCTGCAATCATTTCTCCACAAGTATTTCATTGTATTTCATTGTATTTAATTGTATTTCATTGTAGTTCATTGTATTTCATTGTAGTTCATGAATACAGAGCGTTTTGCCTCCAGCATCACCGCGGCACATCCTCAGCATCCACACTTACTCTTGATGAAGTTTGATTTGAAAAGAAAGCAACAAACTAGTTCTTCACTGACACTATTCATGTGTGTATGTCTTTGTGTGTTCATGGTACATACTGCAGCAGACTTGTATCAGAATCAGAATCATTTTTATTGCCACGTAAGTAACAGGAAGTCACAGACTTGGAATTTGCTTTGGCTCAGTGCAACAGTCAGAAAGAGATAATAAAAAATACAGAATAAAAAACATTTCTAAGGAATAAATTTAAATTTAAAATAGCGTTACAGTTACTATTTACAATATCCAAGTGCACATGGTGCACACAATGTAAGGTGACAGCAGTACAGTGAAGTAAAGTGACGTATGATGGGCAGTAAAGTGACTTTATAAAGGGCGGGGGGACAGGTTACGAAGTGTTCAAGAGTCCAACAGCAGAGGGGAAGAAACTGTTCTTGTGGCGGGAGGTTCTAGTCCTGATGGACCGCAGCCTCCTGCCTGAGGGGAGTGGTTGGAATAGTCCATGTGCAGGTGAGAGGGGAGTGGTTGGAATAGTCCATGTGCAGGTGAGAGGGGAGTGGTTGGAATAGTCCATGTGCAGGGTGAGAGGGGAGTGGTTGGAATAGTCCATGTGCAGGTGAGAGGGGAGTGGTTGGAATAGTCCATGTGCAGGTGAGAGGGGAGTGGTTGGAATAGTCCATGTGCAGGTGAGAGGGGAGTGGTTGGAATAGTCCATGTGCAGGGTGAGAGGGGAGTGGTTGGAATAGTCCATGTGCAGGTGAGAGGGGAGTGGTTGGAATAGTCCATGTGCAGGTGAGAGGGGAGTGGTTGGAATAGTCCATGTGCAGGTGAGAGGGGAGTGGTTGGAATAGTCCATGTGCAGGTGAGAGGGGAGTGGTTGGAATAGTCCATGTGCAGGTGAGAGGGGAGTGGTTGGAATAGTCCATGTGCAGGTGAGAGGGGAGAGGTTGGAATAGTCCATGTGCAGGTGAGAGGGGAGTGGTTGGAATAGTCCATGTGCAGGTGAGAGGGGAGTGGTTGGAATAGTCCATGTGCAGGTGAGAGGGGAGTGGTTGGAATAGTCCATGTGCAGGTGAGAGGGGTCGGCTGTGATACGACCAGCCCGGCCTCGAGCTCGGGCGACGTACAGGTCCTGCAGCGATGGAAGGCTGCGGCCGATCACTTCCTCTGCAGAGCGCACAATGCGCTGTAGTCTCTGTTTGTCCCTGACTGTGGCTCCAGCGAACCACACGGTGACGGAGGAGGTGATGGAGGAGGTGATGGAGGAGGTGACGGAGGAGGTGATGGAGGAGGTGATGGAGGAGGTGATGGAGGAGGTGATGGAGGAGGTGATGAGGAGGTGATGGAGGAGGTGATGGAGGAGGTAATAGAGGAGGTGATGAGGAGGTGATGGAGGAAGTGATGGAGGAGGTGATGGAGGAGGTAATAGAGGAGGTGATGAGGAGGTGACGGAGGAGGTGATGGAGGAGGTGATGGAGGAGGTGATGAGGAGGTGATGGAGGAGGTGACGGAGGAGGTGATGGAGGAGGTGATGAGGAGGAGATGGAGGAGGTGATGGAGGAGGTGATGAGGAGGAGATGGAGGAGGTGACGGAGGAGGTGATGGAGGAGGTGGTGAGGAGGTGATGGAGGAGGTGATGGAGGAGGTGATGAGGAGGTGATGGAGGAGGTGATGGAGGAGGTGATGGAGGAGGTGCTGGAGGAGGTGACGGAGGAGGTGATGGAGGAGGTGATGGAGGAGGTGATGGAGGAGGTGATGGAGGAGGTGAGGAGGAGGTGATGGAGGAGGTGATGGAGGAGGTAATAGAGGAGGTGATGAGGAGGTGATGGAGGAAGTGATGGAGGAGGTGATGGAGGAGGTAATAGAGGAGGTGATGAGGAGGTGACGGAGGAGGTGATGGAGGAGGTGATGGAGGAGGTGATGAGGAGGTGATGGAGGAGGTGACGGAGGAGGTGATGGAGGAGGTGATGAGGAGGAGATGGAGGAGGTGATGGAGGAGGTGATGAGGAGGAGATGGAGGAGGTGACGGAGGAGGTGATGGAGGAGGTGGTGAGGAGGTGATGGAGGAGGTGATGGAGGAGGTGATGAGGAGGTGATGGAGGAGGTGATGGAGGAGGTGATGGAGGAGGTGCTGGAGGAGGTGATGGGGAGGAGATGGAGGAGGTGATGAGGAGGTGATGGAGGATGTGACGGAGGAGGTGAGGATGGACTCGATGATGGCCGTGTAGAACTGCACCATCATCTGTGCAGGCAGCTTGGCTTTCCTGAGCTGCCGCAGGAAGTACATCCTCTGCTGGGCCTTCTTGATGAGGGAGCTGATGGTCGGCTCCCACTTGAGGTCCTGGGTGATGGTGGTGCCCAGGAAACGGAAGGACTCCACAGAGGTGATGGGGGAGTCCATCACGGAGGGTGGGGGCGGGGGGACAGTGCTCTTCCTGAAGTCCACAATGTCAATGTCAATGTCAATTTTATTTATATAGCACACTTAAAACAGCCACAGCCGCCCAAAGTGCTGTACAACAAACATTATAAAATACAATTGAAGAGTAAATACAATTGAAGAGTAAAACAGTCACAAAATATACAACATGAGACAATAATAATAAAATACATGGGATCTGCTCAGCTTGTGTTGAAGGCCAAAGCAAAAAAATGGGTTTTCAACAACGACTTAAAAACATGAATGGACTGGGCCATTTTGACATTCAGCGGAAGGCTGTTCCAGAGTGGACTTTTGATCGAGCCCACAGTACAGAGAGTTACAATAATCTAAGTGACACGTAATAAAAGCATGAATGACACGCTCCAAGTCACCATGAGGCAAATAGGGTTTGATTTTGCTGAGCAAACGCAGCTGAAAAAAGCTATTTTTTGACGACTGAACTTATTTGTCTGTCAAATTTAAACGAACTGTCCAAAACAACCCCAAGATTCCTAGCAGACTCGTGACGATAAATATTCAAAGGGCCTAGAGCAGTGGCATCACATGAGTTACCAAATACAACAATTTCAGTTTTGGAGTCATTAAGCTTTAAACAATTTTGAGCCATCCAGTCCTTCACTTCCTGTAAGCAATCAAACAAAACTTGAACATTGTTTGAACCTGCCTTCAAAGGCAGATAAATTTGCAGATCATCTGCAAAACAATGAAAGTCAATTTTATATTTTCTGAAAATTGACCCAATGGGCAGCATATACATTGAAAACAATAGGGGGCCCAAAATGGAGCCCTGCGGCACACCACAGCTTAGTGGGGTAGCTCCAGAAGCGTAAGGACCCAGGTGGACGGCAAAAGATCGATTTTCAAGGTACGATCTAGACCAACTTAAGGCAGTACCTATAATGCCAACATGATTTTTGAGGCGTGAAAGCAATATTTCATGGTTGACAGTGTCAAATGCTGCAGTTAAATCTAAAAGCACTAAAACAGTGGAGCAGCCTGAATCAACAGTTAAAATACGGTCATTAAAAACTCTTAAGAGTGCAGTCTCAGTGCTGTGACGTAACTTAAAGCCAGATTGAAATTTTTCTAAAATGCCATTTGCATCCAGATAAGTTTGTATTTGTGCAAAAACCAGTTTTTCCAAGATTTTTGACAATCATCTCCACTGTCTTCTGGGCGTTCAGCTCCAGGTTGTTACCACTGCACCAGGACACCAGCCGGTCCACCTCCCTCCTGTAGGAGACACCAGGACACCAGCCGGTCCACCTCCCTCCTGTAGGAGACACCAGGACACCAGCCGGTCCACCTCCCTCCTGTAGGAGACACCAGGACACCAGCCGGTCCACCTCCCTCCTGTAGGAGACACCAGGACACCAGCCGGTCCACCTCCCTCCTGTAGGAGACACCAGGACACCAGCCGGTCCACCTCCCTCCTGTAGGCGGACTCATCGTTGTTGGAGATGAGTCCAATGAGGGTGGTGTCGTCCGTGAACTTGATCAGCTTCACGGAGTCGTGGCTGGAGGTGCAGTGGTTGGTGTACAGGGAGAAGAGCAGGGGAGAAAGAACACAGCCCTGTGGGGCTCCTGTATTTATAATCCGAGAGTCAGAGACATTCTTCCCCAGACGCACTCGCTGCTTCCTGTCCGTCAGGAAGTCAGTGATCCACCTGCAGGTGGAATCGGGCACGTTGAGCTGGGAGAGCTTGTCCTGGAGCAGGGATGGCAGGATTGTGTTGAAGGCAGAGCTGAAGTCCACGAACAGGACCCTGGCGTAGGTCCCCGGGGAGTCCAGGTGCTGTAGGATGTGGTGGAGGGCCAGGTTAATGGCGTCGTCTACAGATCTGTTGGCTCTGTAGGCGAACTGCAGGGGGTCCAGGAGGGGGGAGGTGAGGGACTTGAGATGGGAGAGAACCAGGCGTTCAAATGACTTCATGACGACAGACGTAAGTGCTACAGGTCTGTAGTCATTGAGTCCTGTGATCCTGGGCTTCTTCGGGACGGGGACAATGATGGAGGATTTGAAGCAGGCCGGGACATGGCAGGACTGCAGAGAGGTGTTGAAAATGTCACTGAACACAGGAGTAAGCTCACTGGGGCAGTGTCTCAGAGTGGCCGGAGACACGTGGTCCGGGCCAGGAGCTTTGCGGGGGTGCAGCCTCAAGAAGAGTTGTTTAATCTCTTTAGAGGCTATTGTTAGGCTGGGGGCAGGGCTGATGGGTGGGTCGTTAGAGTAGTGGGGGGTGGGGGAGGTGTCAGGGGCAGCATCAAAGCGACTGAAAAATAAGTTCAGTTCGTCAGCTAGCTTGTGGTCGTCAGCACAGGGGGGGGCTTTGGGTTTGTAGTTGGTGATCTCCCGTAGGCCCCTCCAGACAGAAGCAGTATCGTTGTTACCAAACTGCTCCTGTAGTCGTTCTCTGTGCCGGGACTTGGCTGCTTTCAGTTCTTTCCTGAACTGATATTTAGCTGCTTTGTAGCCGCTGCGGTCCCCCTCCCTGAAGACCTTTCTGGTCTTGCATATGTTTTACAAAGTTAAACATATGCAACATTGTTGTAACATTTCAAACCCTCATCCTAATTCTAAATCCAAACCAAATTGACTATCTTTTTCCTGGGACTTGCTACCTAGCCTGGCTCAGTACCAGACCCATGTAGTCCGCTGCACTTCACACATGAGTCTGGTACTGAGCCATAGTGGTTGGATTTCAGAAGGCAGGGCCTTGTAAAAAAAATCCTTGTATGTGATTGGATAGACCACTTGTCCGTTATCTTGAATGAAGTCTGTTTTCAACCACTCACATCAAAGCACACGGCTCCCATACGGTTGCCAAATCCCAGCAAGATTTTCCAACCCAAAATCTGCGAGAATACCCACACACAAAAAACACTCGGAATGATTTTTTGGCTAAAAACGTAATATAATCAACTTGGGCTGTCATGATTCTGTTTATTGTCTTTCTGTTTATTTAATACCTACAAGTCTCTTGGAAAAAATATGCGGGAACCACCAAACCTGGCAACCCTGCTGCATAGTGTGTAAACAGGAACACTGAACCAGTGCTTCAACCAAACTTTACAGGAAGATTTGACTCTTAAAACACACATATATCAACATAGAACCATCAACATAGAACCATCAACATGGAACCATCAACATCTCGCCTCAAATTGCATTAAAAGTGACATCCGTGTCTTAAGTCGATCGTATTTAGTCTTTTAAAAAGATTCGCGGACTTTACGTCCGCCATCTTGGATTCCTCTCGCTGCTGCATGAGAGAAGCTTGAGAAGGCAGTGCAAACCCCACGTAACACCGGCAATCCTGATTGGTCGATTAAAAAATAATCTGGGGAAGGCGTTCGCTATGGGCTCGATACCAGACCCATGTGGTTCAGCCAAACGCCTCTGGTGGAGCATGGCGGAACTACAAGGGTCTGGCAGAGCCAGGCTACTTGCTACCTGCCCAATCCCATAATGCTTTGCAGGCTGGAGGTCATAGGCCATCAGTCTAATGTGATACAAACCTAAATCTATGTTATAATAATCTGATTATAGCTTCCATAAATCACAGATCGTTTAAATAAATTAAAAAAACATTGCTTGAAAAGAAATGATGATACTGAAAGGTCAAACAGGGAAAAAGCTGGTATTCCTCACACCGTTTTTAATGGTGCAGTTCTACAAACAGCCTGCAGATGGCAATCATTTACGTTGTTTAAGTGCAACCCTGAGCAGGTGGTCTAAAGTTCCTGTGATCCTTGTGGGAAGCGTTCTCGGCCTTCTTTTACTTTACTATAATTAATTCAGACACATAAAAGGTCCATACATTCAAAAGCACAGAAAGTAACATTCAAACATTTGATATTTACTACGGGAGCGACCCGATCGTAAGTAGTGACGGCTGACATGAACAGGCAGCTTCTGTACACTTTGATCCCATGATGCATTTCTTGCTGATTTATGGCTGATAAAATACTTTCATTTGGAATCTATTCAACACCAGGTTCTTCCAGAAAGTCTCAATTTCACTGAGTGTGTGTTTGTGCTCAGAGAAAGACTCTTTAGAAAACACAAACAAAGCCACTTTAGTGATTATAATGTTAGTGCTGACTATCTTGGCCATCAGCCTGCAGGTACAGATTCCTTTTGGGCCTGGCAAGTAGATAAAACAGCCCATTTTTAAAGCACCCAACTTTCCCCCCAAAAATACAAAATGCATTTGTTTGGCCCAATAGAATAAGTAACATTGTATTTAAACAAATCAAACCGAAATCACTGTTTTTACCGTATTAGAAAACATGTTTTCATTGGCCTACTTGTAAAAAAGATCCCTCTGATACTTAGCCCTGTGAGTCACTTTCTGACTTTTTGAGCTGAGAGCTGATTGGCTGAGAGAAGGTGGTCCTCTCTTATTCTACATTTCTGTCTGAAAAAAAAAAATTCAAGATGTGATAGAGGACAAAAATACAAATGTGGAAATACTGAGAGCGAGGAACTAAGATGGAGTTACATATTTTGCGGTTTGAAAGTTAGGTACCCCAGCTTTAAACATAACCCAATAACCTGCCACCTCACGTGAACCCAGCCTGTAAACCTACGCTGCAGGTGTAATCATTAACGTTGGGCCTGAACAGTGAGCGATGGACCTGCCACGGCTGTAGTTTCATGTTTTCGCCAAGACAACAGTTTACGAAGCCGGGGCCTGAGGGTTCGGTGACAGCCTCTTGGCTCCTGGACTGAAGCGTCTCCGCAGCGGCGTGTGGAGTCCAGCTGATGCTCGGCCAAAAGGCTTATGTCAGTGTTTTACAGAGATGTGGCCCCGGGGCCCCGTATCTCTGATAACACTCTTTATGATCACTGCACTTCCGGGTCCAGGCTAAAGTCCTCTTGTAAACAAAAGGACAGTCGCTCTTGTTTAAGCTTCTTTATTATATTAACTCTGCTCATCCTGGGACTCCCATTACACTCTGTGGAACTCTGAAACATTCTGAAAAGCAAAACAAAAAAGTGAGTTAGTTTTCCACCAGTTTTCTTAAAAGTAAGTTGTTTCACTTTTCATAAGTGCTAAAACGGATGAATAAAACACAGCAGTTTACAGTTTGGTAAAAGGCTAAGTGCTAAATGCTAACAGTGTGTTGCTATGGTAACTAGCTCTGAATGTGAGCGTAATCAAAAAGAAAAAGTCCCAAAGTTAGGAAGCGCTGAAATGCTTATTAATACAGCTTCTGCAACACTTCATCTGTTTCTCTGACGTGAACATGTGAAGAATATCGGGTCTAAGTTAGTGACTGAGAGGTGATGTCACACTCAGACGCTGCATAAATGGGTGACACATTAAAGATCACAAAGATGAATCATTGAAACACAGGTTTATGGTCGTTATATTCTGGTTTTGTTACACATTTGATAAAAACTGGTCTGGTAGATACTTCACTATAAAACAATTATACATCCATCTTTTAGTTTTTAAATTCATGATTGAAATACAAAAACATTATTGTGTGATGCCATCGTGGAACTTCCTGGTTCTACTTTCTCTTCCCTTCATTATTAGTGCAAAACTAATTTATATTTATAGATATAAAGTCAAAATGATTTTAAAAGTATGGAATCAAGTTATGTGCGCACATTCTTACTCTGTTTGGTTCATGAATTATTCATGAATGTATTAATTTGGTGCATTCTGAGAAATGGTGCAGATTTTGAAGACACTTTATTATTCTATAAGTGACAGATTTGAGTATTTGTTGGTGTCTAGTGTCCACAAATGCTGACTGTATATTTCATGAATTATTCCTCCCACATGGATCCAAACACATGTTATTTTTACAACCATCTCTTGGATTCTGCAGAGACCAGAGAAATATGATATATTTTCATTTGTGCTCCTTACTCCTCTCTTTTGTAAGTACAGTGAGGTTCATATTTACACAAAGTGCTGAGAAAGTGAAAGCAAACACCTGTTTATTTAGATTTTACACAAATCTAACTCAAAATAATATACTAATAAAAGTAAATGTATTGTTCCATAATGGCACAGATATAAACTGAACACATATCAATAAACAGAGCAGCGCTGCCATCCTACTGAACTTAGAAGCATTGCTAACCACAGTATTAAAGAACATTGAGGTCCACAGTTCTTGCAATGCTCCGGTCCCTCTTTCTAAAGAGTAGAAAATACAGATATTTGGTTTTAGAAGTAATGAGTAAAAGTATAAAATTAGAGTCAAGTATGCAGATAGAAAAAAAGTACTTCAGTTATTTTCCACTTGGCTCACATCAGCCTGTATCCACTCGCTGTGATGACGCTGCACTCCCAGCTCCGGCCACCAGAGGGCGCAGTGCAGTCTGCAGTGGAGGCAGATCCATCACGGCTGTTTATGAGGAGGGGGTCGGCTCCCACAGAGCCACACGTGGAGCCCCCTCACCCCCTCGACCAAACCTCCCCCCCTTCACCCCCCCTACACCTTCACTTCCCTGTCTCCTGCAGCATGACCTCATCCAGAAGCAGCTCTGAGGTCCCACAGACTGTCCCACAGACTGTCCCACAGACTGTCCCACAGACTGTCCCACCACAGACTGTCCCACTGCAGACTGTCCAACAGACTGTCCCACTGCAGACTGTCCAACAGACTGTCCCACGGCAGACTGTCCAACAGACTGTCCCACTGCAGACTGTCCCACTACAGACTGTCTCACAGACTGACCCACTACAGACTGTCCCACAGACTGTCTCACAGACTGTCCCACTACAGACTGTCCCACTGCAGACTGTCCCACAGACTGTCCCACTACAGACTGTCCCACCACAGACTGTCCCACTACAGACTGTCCCACCACAGACTGTCCCACTGCAGACTGTCCCACTACAGACTGTCCCACTACAGACTGTCCCACTGCAGACTGTCCCACTGTAGACTGTCCAACAGACTGTCCCACCACAGACTGTCCCACTACAGACTGTCCCACTGCAGACTGTCCCACTGCAGACTGTCCCACTGTAGACTGTCCAACAGACTGTCCCACCACAGACTGTCCCACTACAGACTGTCCCACTGCAGACTGTCCCACTGCAGACTGTCCCACTGTAGACTGTCCAACAGACTGTCCCACCACAGACTGTCCCACAGACTGTCCCACTGCAGACTGTCCCAATGTAGACTGTCCCACTACAGATTGTCCCACTACAGACTGTCCCACTGCAGACTGTCCCACTGCAGACTGTCCCACTACAGACTGTCCCACTACAGACTGTCCCACAGACTGTCCCACTACAGACTGTCCCACAGACTGTCCCACCACAGACTGTCCCACTACAGACTGTCCCACTGCTGACTGTCCCACAGACTGTCCCACTGCAGACTGTCCCACTGCAGACTGTCCCACTGTAGACTGTCCAACAGACTGTCCCACCACAGACTGTCCCACACAGACTGTCCCATCACAGACTGTCCCACTACAGACTGTCCCACTAGAGACTGTCCAACAGACTGTCCCACACAGACTGTCCCATCACAGACTGTCCCACTACAGACTGTCCCACTACAGACTGTCCCACTGCAGACTGTCCCACTGCAGACTGTCCCACTACAGACTGTCCCACTACAGACTGTCCCACCACAGACTGTCCCACCACAGACTGTCCCACTACAGACTGTCCCACTACAGACTGTCCCACAGACTGTCCCACCACAGACTGTCCCACTACAGACTGTCCCACCACAGACTGTCCCACTACAGACTGTCCCACTACAGACTGTCCCACAGACTGTCCCACCACAGACTGTCCCACTACAGACTGTCCCACCACAGACTGTCCCACAGACTGTCCCACCACAGACTGTCCCACTACAGACTGTCCCACTGCTGACTGTCCCACAGACTGTCCCACTACACACTGTCCCACAGACTGTCCCACTACAGACTGTCCAACCACAGACTGTCCCACTACAGACTGTCCCACCACAGACTGTCCCACAGACTGTCCCACAGACTGTCCCACTGCAGGTTGTCCCACTGCAGACTGTCCAACAGACTGTCCCACCACAGACTGTCCCACTACAGACTGTCCCACTGCAGACTGTCCAACAGACTGTCCCACTACAGACTGTCCCACCACAGACTGTCCCACCACAGACTGTCCCACTACAGACTGTCCCACTACAGACTGTCCCACCACAGACTGTCCCACTACAGACTGTCCCACACAGACTGTCCACGTCCCACTACAGACTGTCCACAGACTGTCCCACTACAGACTGTCCACCACAGACTGTCCCACTACAGACTGTCCAGAGCCCAGACTGTCCCACGGACTGTCCCACAGACTGTCCCAGTACAGACTGTCCCACTACAGACTGTCCCACTACAGACTGTCCCACAGACTGTCCCACTGCAGACTGTCCCACGGACTGTCCCACAGACTGTCCCACTACAGACTATCCCACTACAGACTGTCCCACCACAGACTGTCCCACTACAGACTGTCCCACAGACTGTCCCACAGACTGTCCCACTACAGACTGTCCCACAGACTGTCCCACTACAGACTGTCCCACTACAGACTATCCCACTACAGACTGTCCCACCACAGACTGTCCCACCACAGACTGTCCCACTACAGACTGTCCCACTACAGACTGTCCCACAGACTGTCCCACAGACTGTCCCACTACAGACTGTCCCACCACAGATTGTCCCACTACAGACTGTCCCACTACAGACTATCCCACTACAGACTGTCCCACAGACTGTCCCACTACAGACTGTCCCACTACAGACTGTCCTACTACACACTGTCCCACTACAGACTGTCCCACTACAGACTGTCCCACAGACTGTCCCACTACAGACTGTCCCACTACAGACTGTCCCACTGCAGACTGTCCCACAGACTGTCCCACTACAGACTGTCCCACAGACTGTCCCACTGCAGACTGTCCCACTGCAGACTGTCCCACAGACTGTCCCACACAGACTGTCCCACCACAGACTGTCCCACCACAGACTGTCCCACCACAGACTGTCCCACTACAGACTGTCCCACTACAGACTGTCCCACTCAGACTGTCCACACTGCACAGACTGTCCCACTACAGACTGTCCCACTACAGACTGTCCCACTACAGACTGTCCCACAGACTGTCCCACTACAGACTGTCCCACTACAGACTGTCCCACTACAGACTGTCCCACTACAGACTGTCCCACTACAGACTGTCCCACAGACTGTCCCACTACACACTGTCCCACAGACTGTCCCACTACACACTGTCCCACTACAGACTGTCCCACCACAGACTGTCCCACTGCAGACTGTCCCACGGACTGTCCCACAGACTGTCCCACTACAGACTGTCCCACTACAGACTGTCCCACCACAGACTGTCCCACTACAGACTGTCCCACAGACTGTCCCACTACAGACTGTCCCACTACAGACTGTCCCACCACAGACTGTCCCACCACAGACTGTCCCACTACAGACTGTCCCACTGCTGACTGTCCCACAGACTGTCCCACTACACACTGTCCCACTACAGACTGTCCCACTACAGACTGTCCCACTACAGACTGTCCCACAGACTGTCCCACAGACTGTCCCACTACAGACTGTCCCACTACAGACTGTCCCACTACAGACTGTCCCACTACAGACTGTCCCACCACAGACTGTCCCACTACAGACTGTCCCACAGACTGTCCCACAGACTGTCCCACTACAGACTGTCGCACCACAGACTGTCCCACTACAGACTGTCCCACTGCAGACCGTCCAACAGACTGTCCCACTGCAGACTGTCCCACAGACTGTCCCACTACAGACTGTCCCACAGACTCTCCCACTACAGACTGTCCCACTACAGACTGTCCCGCCACAGACTGTCCCACTGCAGACTGTCCCACCACTACAGACTGTCCCACAGACTGTCCAACCACAGACTGTCCCACTACAGACTGTCCCACCACAGACTGTCCCACAGACTGTCCCACTGCAGGCTGTCCCACTGCAGACTGTCCAACAGACTGTCCCACTGCAGACTGTCCCACAGACTGTCCCACTACAGACTGTCCCACAGACTCTCCCACTACAGACTGTCCCACTACAGACTGTCCCGCCACAGACTGTCCCACTGCAGACCGTCCAACAGACTGTCCCACTGCAGACTGTCCCACAGACTGTCCCACTACAGACTGTCCCACAGACTCTCCCACTACAGACTGTCCCACTACAGACTGTCCCGCCACAGACTGTCCCACTGCAGACTGTCCCACTACAGACTGTCCCACAGACTGTCCAACCACAGACTGTCCCACTACAGACTGTCCCACCACAGACTGTCCCACAGACTGTCCCACTGCAGGCTGTCCCACTGCAGACTGTCCAACAGACTGTCCCACCACAGACTGTCCCACAGACTGTCCCACTACAGACTGTCCCACTGCAGACTGTCCAACAGACTGTCCCACTACAGACTGTCCCACTGCAGACTGTCCCACCACAGACTGTCCCACTACAGACTGTCCCACTGCAGACTGTCCAACAGACTGTCCCACTACAGACTGTCCCACTACAGACTGTCCCACCACAGACTGTCCCACTACAGACTGTCCCACCACAGACTGTCCAACAGACTGTCCCACTACAGACTGTCCCACAGACTGTCCCACTGCAGACTGTCCCACGGACTGTCCCACAGACTGTCCCACTACAGACTATCCCACTACAGACTGTCCCACCACAGACTGTCCCACCACAGACTGTCCCACTACAGACTGTCCCACTGCAGACTGTCCCACTACAGATTGTCCCACTACAGACTGTCCCACTACAGACTGTCCCACTGCAGACTGTCCCACTGCAGACTGTCCCACTGCAGACTGTCCCACTACAGACTGTCCCACTACAGACTGTCCCACAGACTGTCCCACCACAGACTGTCCCACTACAGACTGTCCCACTGCTGACTGTCCCACAGACTGTCCCACTACAGACTGTCCCACAGACTGTCCCACCACAGACTGTCCCACTACAGACTGTCCCACTGCAGACTGTCCCACTGCAGACTGTCCCACTGTAGACTGTCCAACAGACTGTCCCACCACAGACTGTCCCACTGCAGACTGTCCCATCACAGACTGTCCCACTACAGACTGTCCAACAGACTGTCCCACTACAGACTGTCCAACAGACTGTCCCACTACAGACTGTCCCACTGCAGACTGTCCCACTGCAGACTGTCCCACTGCAGACTGTCCCACTACAGACTGTCCCACTACAGACTGTCCCACTACAGACTGTCCCACAGACTGTCCCACTACAGACTGTCCCACAGACTGTCCCACCACAGACTGTCCCACTACAGACTGTCCCACTGCTGACTGTCCCACAGACTGTCCCAATGCAGACTGTCCCACTGCAGACTGTCCCACTACAGATTGTCCCACTACAGACTGTCCCACAGACTGTCCCACTACAGACTGTCCCACCACAGACTGTCCCACTACAGACTGTCCCACTGCAGACCGTCCAACAGACTGTCCCACTGCAGACTGTCCCACAGACTGTCCCACCACAGACTGTCCCACTACAGACTGTCCCACTGCTGACTGTCCCACAGACTGTCCCAATGCAGACTGTCCCACTGCAGACTGTCCCACTACAGATTGTCCCACTACAGACTGTCCCACAGACTGTCCCACTACAGACTGTCCCACCACAGATTGTCCCACTACAGACTGTCCCACTGCAGACCGTCCAACAGACTGTCCCACTGCAGACTGTCCCACAGACTCTCCCACTACAGACTGTCCCACCACAGACTGTCCCACTACAGACTGTCCCACAGACTGTCCCACCACAGACTGTCCCACTACAGACTGTCCCACTACAGACTGTCCCACTACAGACTGTCCCACCACAGACTGTCCCACAGACTGTCCCACTGCAGGCTGTCCCACTGCAGACTGTCCAACAGACTGTCCCACCACAGACTGTCCCACTACAGACTGTCCCACTGCAGACTGTCCAACAGACTGTCCCACTACAGACTGTCCCACTACAGACTGTCCCACCACAGACTGTCCCACTACAGACTGTCCCACAGACTGTCCCACTACAGACTGTCCCACCACAGACTGTCCCACAGACTGTCCCACTACAGACTATCCCACTACAGACTGTCCCACCACAGACTGTCCCACTACAGACTGTCCCACAGACTGTCCCACTACAGACTGTCCCACAGACTGTCCCACTACAGACTGTCCCACTACAGACTATCCCACTACAGACTGTCCTACTACACACTGTCCCACTACAGACTGTCCCACTACACACTGTCCCACAGACTGTTCCACTACAGACTGTCCCACCACAGACTGTCCCACTGCAGACTGTCCCACAGACTGTCCCACTGCAGACTGTCCCACAGACTGTCCCACTGCAGACTGTCCAACAGACTGTCCCACTACAGACTGTCCCAGTACAGACTATCCCACTACAGACTGTCCCACAGACTGTCCCACTACAGACTGTCCCACAGACTGTCCCACTACACACTGTCCCACTACAGACTGTCCCACCACAGACTGTCCCACTGCAGACTGTCCCACGGACTGTCCCACAGACTGTCCCACTACAGACTGTCCCACTACAGACTGTCCCACCACAGACTGTCCCACTGCAGACTGTCCCACAGACTGTCCCACTACAGACTGTCCCACTACAGACTGTCCCACTACAGACTATCCCACCACAGACTGTCCCACCACAGACTGTCCCACTACAGACTGTCCAACAGACTGTCCCACCACAGACTGTCCCACTACAGACTGTCCCACAGACTGTCCCACTACAGACTGTCCCACCACAGACTGTCCCACTACAGACTGTCCCACAGACTGTCCCACAGACTGTCCCACTACAGACTGTCGCACCACAGACTGTCCCACTACAGACTGTCCCACTGCAGACCGTCCAACAGACTGTCCCACTGCAGACTGTCCCACAGACTGTCCCACTACAGACTGTCCCACCACAGACTGTCCCACCACAGACTGTCCCACTGCAGACTGTCCCACTACAGACTGTCCCACAGACTGTCCCACTGCAGACTGTCCCACTACAGACTGTCCCACTACAGACTGTCCCACTACAGACTGTCCCACCACAGACTGTCCCACTACAGACTGTCCAACAGACTGTCCCACTACAGACTGTCCCACTACAGACTGTCCCACTACAGACTGTCCCACCACAGACTGTCCCACCACAGACTGTCCCACAGACTGTCCCACCACAGACTGTCCAACCACAGACTGTCCCACTGCAGACTGTCCAACAGACTGTCCCACTACAGACTGTCCCACTACAGACTGTCCCACCACAGACTGTCCCACTACAGACTGTCCAACAGACTGTCCCACTACAGACTGTCCCACAGACTGTCCCACTACAGACTGTCCCACCACAGACTGTCCCACTGCAGACTGTCCCACAGACTGTCCCACTGCAGACTGTCCCACGGACTGTCCCACTACAGACTGTCCCACTACAGACTATCCCACTACAGACTGTCCCACCACAGACTGTCCCACTACAGACTGTCCCACAGACTGTCCCACTACAGACTGTCCCACAGGCTGTCCCACTACAGACTGTCCCACTACAGACTATCCCACTACAGACTGTCCCACCACAGACTGTCCAACTACAGACTGTCCCACAGACTGTCCCACTACAGACTGTCCCACTACAGACTATCCCACTACAGACTGTCCCACTACAGACTGTCCCACCACAGATTGTCCCACAGACTGTCCCACCACAGACTGTCCCACTACAGACTATCCCACTACAGACTGTCCCACCACAGACTGTCCTATCACAGACTGTCCCACTACAGACTGTCCCACTACAGACTATCCCACTACAGACTGTCCCACTACAGACTATCCCACTACAGACTGTCCCACAGACTGTCCCACTACAGACTGTCCCACTACACACTGTCCCACAGACTGTCCCACTGTAGACTGTCCAACAGACTGTCCCACCACAGACTGTCCCACTACAGACTGTCCCACTGCAGACTGTCCCACTACAGATTGTCCCACTACAGACTGTCCCACAGACTGTCCCACTACAGACTGTCCCACTGCAGACTGTCCCACTGCAGACTGTCCCACTGCAGACTGTCCCACTACAGACTGTCCCACTACAGACTGTCCCACAGACTGTCCCACTACAGACTGTCCCACTGCTGACTGTCCCACAGACTGTCCCACTGCAGACTGTCCCACTGCAGACTGTCCCACAGACTGTCCCACTACAGACTGTCCCACAGACTGTCCCACCACAGACTGTCCCACTACAGACTGTCCCACTGCTGACTGTCCCACAGACTGTCCCACTGCAGACTGTCCCACTGCAGACTGTCCCACTGCAGACTGTCCCACTGTAGACTGTCCAACAGACTGTCCCACCACAGACTGTCCCACAGACTGTCCCACTGCAGACTGTCCCATCACAGACTGTCCCACTACAGACTGTCCAACAGACTGTCCCACTACAGACTGTCCCACTGCAGACTGTCCCACTGCAGACTGTCCCACTGCAGACTGTCCCACTACAGACTGTCCCACTACAGACTGTCCCACTACAGACTGTCCCACAGACTGTCCCACTACAGACTGTCCCACAGACTGTCCCACCACAGACTGTCCCACTACAGACTGTCCCACTGCTGACTGTCCCACAGACTGTCCCAATGCAGACTGTCCCACTACAGATTGTCCCACTACAGACTGTCCCACTACAGACTGTCCCAATGCAGACTGTCCCACTGCAGACTGTCCCACTACAGATTGTCCCACTACAGACTGTCCCACAGACTGTTCCACTACAGACTGTCCCACTACAGACTGTCCCACCACAGACTGTCCCACCACAGACTGTCCCACTACAGACTGTCCCACTGCAGACTGTCCCACAGACTCTCCCACTACAGACTGTCCCACTACAGACTGTCCCACCACAGACTGTCCCACTGCAGACTGTCCCACTACAGACTGTCCCACCACAGACTGTCCCACCACAGACTGTCCCACTACAGACTGTCCCACTGCAGACTGTCCCACAGACTCTCCCACTACAGACTGTCCCACTACAGACTGTCCC